CCCGCTTAACTGTGGAGAAAGTTGCACTTTTACCCACGCTCGACAGGGCGAAAACTATATGCGTACCTAAATTCTATTCGTAAAAAATATTTACACTATAAATGGAAACTGATAAAAAAAAATTGGGAAAAAATATAGTACCTAACAAGCGCGGATAAGAAGCACTTCACACTATTAAGTCCTGTAGACAAAAAACTGTTGTTTTGACTTCATAAATATTGGGTAAAAGTTAACTTAAGTTAATCTTTGATAAAAGTTATATTAAATGGCGTTTAATTCTACTAGTTGATAATTAATTTTAATTAAATGACTTAAACTACTCGCTAGCAAATAGACAGAAATACCGCTTTATAATAGGTGCCTATTTTTTATGCTAGATTTCGAAAAACCACTCTTGCATTTAAGAATAAAAGTTTGTTTTGCAATCGAGGATCAAACAAATTTTTTTCTAAAACTGTATCCCACAGTTTTAAAATAATTAAAAATTTCAAAGAAAATATTTTGAAACAGATGTAAAAGTATTTTGGGTACATAGCCACGCAAGAAAAAGTATTTTGCGTACATAATAACGAATGTTAAAGTCTTTTTTCTACAACCGAGCGAAACGAACAAATTTACGCTTCCAAAAGAAAGCGTAAAGTTGCACTTTTCTGAGGAGAAAGCGTTTCTTTACTTTGTCGCTCGCCAAGCGACAAAGTAACCAAAACGCTCGCTTAGTTCCCTTGGAAACCATAATAATGAAAATTTAAGGTTATCAATAATTAATAATTATTACAAAACATTTTTATAAAAACACCGGTTGTAGAACACTTCTCGCTCAGAGCGACAATATATCACTTTGCGTTCTTAATACACATAGCTATTAGGTACGTTCTGTAGATAAAAAACTGTTGTTTTGGCACTTAATAAATATGATGTAAAAGTCAACTTTGTATGGCAATTTTCGAAAACAGTTTTTAGTTTTTTTATCAATTATGGAGATTTGACTGTAATAAGATATTAAACACAAAGTACATTAATTTTATTGTATAATAAAATATTGATATAAATTTACAAACCGAATGAAAATGTTTTGACTAATGTAACGAAAAATTAAATTCTGATTATATTTCTAGAATATTTAACAGAATATTTCAATCATCTCCACCAACTTAGTGTTTTGCTGGTGAAATTCTTCAAGGCTAAACAACATAAACAGTTTAATTTAAATTATAAACAATTACTCTATAAATAAATATACTTAATATATATATATATATATATATATATATTTACTTAATCAAACGTCCATTAACGCGTTAACATATACACCAGACTTTTGTAAGAGTCATTTAATCTTAAAAAATCAATTCTTTAACCCTTTAGAATCTTTAAAATTCTTTGTCCATTTTGAGTGATATTAGACACACTTATCTTGGAATTTTTATTGTTACTTAAATTAAGAACATTATCTTTAATAATGAAAAGTTAATGATCTAAAATTGTATGCTTTTGTGAACATTCTTATTTTATTTAGATAGTTGAAATATAAAAAAATAGCTTAATGAAAAATATTTTATAATAATTTTAAAAACTGTTTTTGTGCGTACCTTTTATTTTTCATTACAATGTCAGATTGAGCAATAAAATAAACAAAAAAGATATGAATAGCTTTTAATTTCGCTTAGTAATTTCTTTCATTGTTCCTTAAAAGGATAAAAGACAATTTTACAGTTTACCTTGTTGAAGATTATAAACATTTTCTAAAGATTTTGAGCGTGTAAGTTTCATAATAAATCATCAGAGTAATAGAGCCGCTGCAGCGCTGTCTAACACAAATTTTGTAGAAATTTTCTGAATACAAACTTGCGATGTAAAGTTTCAAGGCCAGTCTATGTCTTTGGGAAGATGGACACTATGATGTATGGTCTATGTACGGACAAAGAACTACTCTTGAACACTGAATGTAACGATTTATCTTGCTGACCGCAACTGTCTTTATTTCAAGATACTTTGAACTCGCCATTAGTTGCACACTGCAAGTGTGGAGCCGTGACGAACTGTAATAGCCATTGGAAATGAGTTTTAAAATTAAATTTATATTTGCGTCAAAAAGTGACATAAAAGAAAGCGCGTTCTGGATCGTGCGTTACGTCACACCAAACAAATAAAAAATTGTTTTTGCAATATTAAAAATATTTACATATATGATTTTGATTTTTTAAATATGGATAATATGTGATATTATAAAATGTGGGTCATTCCACCAAACTAATTGTTTGTGTGACCCCCGCTCGTCAAAATTTGAAAAATCATTACTTCGAAAGTACTAAATATTAAGTTAATAATAAGACCTAACCTCTTTAGGGAGTTGTAAAACAAGTAAAATAGGTAAATATTATGCCTACTAAAAAATTATAATTAAAAAAATATAAATTTGACGTTTGACCAGTGGCATAACTGAACATTTTGGCCCCCCAGCAACTTTTGGTTTACTTTTTACCGCCGAGGTGATAGCCGAGGCAGTAGATAGTGCGCGAGGCAAGTAATAAGCTTTTGTCGCCGGGTTTTATAGCATTTAAGCATTTAATTAAATTATTTTTAAATATAATTTTTAGGTTAGGTTTAACTAACATGATGACATTTTAGTTTGGCTTTTGAACTACACAAATCTTTCTAAGATAAAAGGGTGCTGGTATTCTGTTGTTTGATTTGTAGCGATACCAAAACAGCAGGCGTCAGTACGCATCGACAATTAGCGCCGCTGGTGGTGAAAAAAAGACATAATTTGTTCAATTTAATGGACATATTTTGTCAATTTCCTCTATTAAGTTCGGACTCCTTGTGTAGGCTCCATGCTTTATACCGTGACTAAAAACCTGTTGCTAACTTCAGCCCGATATCATTGTGTTTGAAATTAAATTACTTTTAATTTGATTAAGTGTAAATAAAAAATTAGGTAAGAGTAAATTACAAATATCACCTCATATCATCCCCTTTTAGCACTTTTAGGTAGACAACCTATGCGCAATGTATTTGTTTATTGATTATCTTTTTATAAAAAATACCTCTCATTAGGAAATCAGATGAGGGTAGGTTGACCTAGGTCGGGAATCCTGGCCGGATTTTTGGAATATAATAACAAAAAATTACATAACCACAAAAATAATTAAATGAACAATTAAAAACCATAAATCCTACGAGCAAACAAATTTAAAACTTTAAATATGTATACAGGGTATATATCAAAGTTAGCATTTGTATGCCAAGTTAAGTTTGCCCTTAAACATATCTTTAATTAAAATGACTATCCTAAAATATAAAATAAATTTTGGAACCCTAAAAACTTTCTATTTAATTTTAATGTAAACATTATTATTGAGGTAGTCCTACACTTCAATAAAAATAAAAAATAGAACACTTTATTACTAGAACCTGTGTATCAGGATATTTTTTTATAGAATTAAATATATATTTTTTAATAATAATATATTTATATATATGTTCGTTTTAATAATCCGATTTATTTTCAAAATAAAAAACATACATTTACCATTTTCCTTTTATTACCAAATTGGATCTATGTACCTACCTAGCTGTATTATTTTAACTGCCTTTATTAAATTAAGTTTTTTAATTAATCTCTTCTTTGTAGCAGATGTTTTCTTTATTACCTGCCCGTCTTTCGTAAGATTTATTTTTACTCAAAAAACCATCGGCAAACATCTGCAGCTCTTCTACCTACCTACTTGCACTTATTTGTACTCGGTTGGTATATAACAAACTTGGTAAATATCAGTGTGCTTCTTATTAGAATATTTAACAGACTGCACTTCAAATACGAATATTCAAAACACATTCGATAGGTATAATAAAACTACAAACATTAAAATTAAATAGTTTTACTTGGTTTAAATTACATTTCAAATAAGCATTTTATACTATATACATATAGTCCTTTGGGATTTTGAACCAAATATATATTTAAAATAATATTTACAAGTAATATTTACATAGTTTTTATTTAATAATAAGATTAGGAATTAAATTGTGAACAAATCAATATTAGATACTACCATTTTAGGAATAAATTATTTAGATATACATCGTTATATAATAATGATTTGCCCGAAAATACTTTAGTCTATCAATATCGTTGTGGTTCAAACATTTTTTTTAAAAGGCCTCTCAAATTAAATTTTTATTTTTGTACACAGAGAAAGTACATTGAAATATATGACAAGCTTGCTAATCTTTGATGTACAGTCAAGTGCATTGGATCAGTACCATTACCGTTTATATTCGCTTGCAGCCGTTGCGTGGTCTACCACCCTTTTACCTTGGTTAAGATCCTAGAGTAGGCGGAGCTATGAATGACTATGACCGCAAGCGATTTTTAAATGTAGTTGCTACTGAGCTATTGCTCCCAACTGTACATATTGTCCCATTGTATATATCTTAGGTGTCAACATGATTTTCTATTTAAAGTGTAGTGCCTCTAATATGAGAAAATAGCAAATCATCTCGTCACGTTGCTTTATTTCGAATGTGCTTTGCACTGACCAAGGGCCTGTTTCGGACTTTTTGTACTCGTCAGTACCGTCAAACAAAACGCCTTCGCCGCTCTTATAGTAGCAAAGCTACAGGAACAGCGGTGGCAACAACGTGTATAAGAGTTCTCAGCGACATCTACCATAAATCTATCGTCCAACAGACGTATCTTATAAATGTTTTATTCTCCCTGTGTAAGTATACAATTTTTAACCGAAAACTAAAAATAAAGTGTCTTAGTAACAGTTAGTGACGCAACCACACAACCTTCTTGAAAACTGCATCGAAGGAATTATGTTAATATATTGTAATTTACTGGATTACAAAATTCATACAGGATATAAAATGCTTTTTCATAGATTAAATGTTTGTTTTATACAATTTATACAACTATATTAATAAGCTCATGAAGCAGTTATTCAAAGAACATTGATATATAAAGACTGAATATATTTAATATAGATTAAATTCGGTATACTTAATTAATCAGTCCATAATTTTATATAAATTAATATTAACAATTGTAACTAGAAACATTTTCCAAGAAAATGGAATTATTTAGAATTATTCACAAAAATATCACAATCACCAGTCGCCTTAGTAAACAAGAACTGACTGTCCATCAAACTTTTTATTTCTTGACACTCTTTTGCTGTGTGCAGGCATGCTGAAACAAAAAAAAGGTATTAGTATGATCGCAATTTTCATTTAAAAAAAATGTATATCGAAGTGACCAGGATATAAATACGAATAAGCAAACAAGAACCACTGTTGTGTCATGTTAACAAAAAATGTGCGGACTTGTTATGCAGATAACACCCTTTTCGGAATTTATAGAAAACAAAGATAATAAACACGTAAAAGGGTTGTTGCGTACATGAAACGTGAAATTAGATTATTTTTTTGACAGAATTAGCATCACTTCTACATGAATGTATGGGGTTAGCTGACAACAATATAATGAAAACCAACGTAAATAATACAGTGTCAGTAAGTGAAATAATCAAGATTCGATACACGAAAACATTTCGCACGCAGCTGCGTTAATTGGAGCCATTATTTTATGGGAATCGTGATTCTGGAACGAATGGTACATATACTTCCACAACACTCACAATCCCGTCGTTAAGTTAACAATGATCCCTTCTGCTTCTTAATATGCGAAACTTGGGGTCCGAATTTATTAGAAATTTAATTACACCAGGTTATAATTAAAGTTTCCAACTATACGAAAGCAATTATAATCCGTACTTCTAAGCTATTGTTTTTATTTCATGCAGTTATTCCATTTCTACTTAATACAGGAAACCTTATTACGCCACCTGGATCCTAACTTTTCGAATATTACATTTTCCTCAACTAAATATTTCATCAAATTTAAAACTTTATATTGCACATTGTGCTACTTTTTTATTCGAATTATTTTCCCAAGCACCGCAATTTATTTTTATCGTTATTACGTATATTACATTTATAAATTCATGTCATTGCCATTTCACACGATTAAAAAATCATGCAATTTATATTTTAGGATATATATATATATATATATAAATTTCTTTGCTCCCAGGGGCTTAAATGCTTCCAAATTGATAAAAAAAAATTCCCTGAAAATTTGAGCTCTTAATATTAACTCTAAGATAGTGCGCATTCCAATCTAAGTTTCCTATGGAAATAACATAGGAAAAATTACTTTTGTTGTTTATAATTTTATAACTTGGGAACGAATGAATTAAAAATTATAAATCATACATATTTTTATAGAGAATTTAACGCTCTACAGAAAAGGTCTCCTATAATTTTTCCATTAGTCTATTTGTTTAAAAGTTATTCAACGTCAAAGTTTAATTTTCATATTATTATTAATATTATCAAGGCTTTTTTATGAGGCGCCGTTTGTGTCAAAATTAAAAGTAAAAGGTAAATAAACTTATTTTGTTTTATAAATAATTAATTATATGCTTTACCAAATAATTTTTTTATAAAATTATTTTTTTATAAAATAATTTTTTTTTAAATTATTTTTTTATAAAATAATTTTTTTTTAAATTATTTTTTTATAAAATAATTTTTTTTTAAAATTATTTTTTTATAAAATAATTCTTTTTTATAAAATTATATTTTTATAAAATAATTTTCTGCGAATCAAAAATTATTTTATAAAAGGGCGCATTTATAAATTAATTTTTACTGCAGCCATCTCTATTTGTTTGTAGACACTCGAGTAAACCCGAGTAAACCCGAACGCCCCTCCCGGGGAGGGCCTCCCCAGATACAATTTTATGACGGACTGGACTTTTGTTTGACGCAATTTGGGGAAACAATTGAAAATAATAATTTATTATTTTTATTCATTAATTCATTAATTTTTTTTTAGCTACATTTATTTTGATTTTTAGTTTTTAACAAGAATTCTTTATGTTTAAACGTTTTTTATAAGAAAGCACTTGTTAAAAACTAAAATAAATAAATAAAATAATTCTCTTGAAAACAAATTAAAATAAATAAATAAATTAATTAATAAAAATAATAAATTGTTATTTTCAATCGTTCCCCCAAATAACGTCAAACAAAAGCCCAGTCCGTCATAAAATTGTATCTGGGGAGGGGCGTTCGGGTTCACTCGGGTTTACTCGAGTGTCTACAAACAAAATTTGTTTGTATTTAATAGAGATTGGTGCAGTAAAAATTAATTTATAAATGCGCCCGTCGTCTTTTATAAAATAATTTTTGATTCGCAGAAAATTATTTTATAAAAAATAATTTTATAAAAAAGAATTATTTTATAAAAAAAATTTTTATAAAAAAATTATTTTATAAAATTTTTTACAAAAAAAAAATAATTAAAAAAAAAATTATTTTATAAAAAATAATTTTATAAAAAAATTATTTGGTAAAGCATATAATTAATTATTTATAAAACAAAATAAGTTTATTTGGCAGTTTTAATTTTGACACAAACGGCGCCTCATAAAAAAGCCTTGATAATATTAATAATAATATGAAAATTAAACTTTGGCGTTGAATAACTTTTAAACCAATAGACTAATGAAAAAATTATAAGAGACTTTTTTTGTAGAGCGTTAAATTCTCTATAAAAATATGTATGATTTATAATTTTTAATTCATTCGTTCCCAAGTTATAAAATTATAAACAACAAAAGTAATTTTTCCTATGTTATTTCCATAGGAAACTTAGATTGGAATGCGCACTATCTTAGAGTTAATATTAAGAGCTCAAATTTTCAGGGAATTTTTTTTTATCAATTTGGAAGCATTTAAGCCCCTGGGAGCAAAGAAATTTGAAAATAACCTTATTAAGGACCACCCTAATATATATATATATATATATATATATATATACTCTCTAAAAATGAATTAGTCAAAAATGACTAATTACTGCAGTTATTAGTGGCTGCTTTTTCACTTATACCATGGTTAATCGTGAGATACCATGGTATCTTAACATTTAACAGCCAATTCTTATGGAAAATGGTCCTATGAATCCGTAAATACCGTGAAAAGGTATGAAATTAGAGCAGTTTTTGAGACATAGTCAATTCCATATTATATGGAAAATTAACTATATCTCAAAAACAGTTCTACTTTTCTACTTTTCTAACTTTTTAATTATTAGTGGCTGCCTTTTCGATATGACAATTAGTCATTTTTGACTAATTCATTTTTAGAGAGTAAAAACACAAAGTATACAGAAATATTAGTATATTTTACTAATAATAATATACTAGTAATATTTAAGTTTTTTGATCATATACATATAAAATTTACTCATAATATTTCAGTTCTACTTTTCAGAAGAAGCAACGCAGTGCTGTATGTCATTTAGGATAATTGAAATATTTTAGGCATTGCAAGATTGTGCCCAACAGGTTTTGTCTCAGTATCCTGGTAAATTAAAAAAAATATCGAAGTCTTATGTGCTGAGAAACTTTGCCGTTCAGCAGAGAAATTTGTATCAAGAAAGAGACAAAGATTAGCACCACTCGCTTCGCACAGACAGGTATTTTGAGCTAAAACGTGGCCAAAACTTGATTTTGTTAATTTTCATTACCAGATCTAAGATTGCGTCTCAAAGCAGATAGATAATATTGCTATCTTTTTGTGTATTTAATACCTACCATCCCAGTCCGCGGTGCCAACAGCTAGAACTTAGCGCTCCTTTAAATCGTACGTCTTCGTTCGCGACACTCAATAAAAACACACATTTTCGGCGTGTTGTTTCTTATGTTAAAAGTCATTTTGGTGAAAAAAGTTCATATATAGATATTGTTAATCAAGGTATGTATAATATTTTGAGCAACATTTTATTTGTGTTATAAACTTTATATATTCACATCCAGTTAGTTGGATGGATATGGTTATTAATATTTACTCGTGTTTTTAAACAAACATTTGTATTTTTAAATACATGTATATGCAACACCTCGCAACGGCATCCAACCCACGTTTTATTAAACTTCAGGACATCCATAAAAACTCTAGCCATCAAAAACATTCAGAAGTTTTCAGATCACGTAAAATTTTAGTGCGATTTTAGATATAGATGGATATATTTTTTATTTTTTAAAGGGCACAAAAAATTTAATATATGTTTAATTTTAATATTTTCATTGTATTACTTGCATGTACTTGGTAATTTTTTTATAAATAAATTTTTTAATACATATATTTTTGGCCACGTTTAAGGTCCAAATACCTGTCTGTGCGTCGTTGGTCATCGCTGTTAGTGGAGGAAGTTCGTCGCTATCAGAAAAAAAAAAAGATAATTTTATCGATTTAATATGTAAATTGATTGCACTAAGGCTTGGGTTTAATTGTTTTTATAATTGCTGTAAATTTACGGTTATTTTAAGAAATATTTTGTTAAACTAGTGCAATTGAAACTATTATTTTGTAAATATATGTTGTAAATAATAATTTATTAAGTTCGAAGGTAATAATATTTAAAGGTTCTGTTCAAGACTGGTAAGGTCTCAGCTCGGTGAGTATAGATTAGAAAATTGATCTATTTTTTTCTAGATATTTTTTAGACAAAATTACATCTATCTATGCGTGGATAAACGTTAATAAACGTTGATTTCTGTTTAATTCTCAGTTTCGGTTTAATCTCATGTACCATCTTCAGGTCTTATCTGTTGGGCTGCTGTTGCTGTTCTGCTGCGAGTTAGACGTCGTCAGGCATATGGTTCTTTTAAGAACCCAAAACCGACAACACGGAGGAGATCCCGGAAAACCATATATATGTATATATATATATATATATATATATATATATATATATATATACATCCCGCTATACATTGACGTATTACATTGGATATGGCGTCCGATTGACATACGGCTTCCGTATATGGACGCCATATCGACTAACCACACAATTCAGTTTATTTTTTAGTAAAAACATTTCTGGTAAAATTTTATCGGGACGCCACATGATCGGTGTTATGTACGTTTTTGTATATTTTAGTTCTGCATTATTACGCTTGGCTTAGTTGCGCTCTAGTCGACCGTCCGTATATTCATTATTATTCCGTTTTCATGATTTCGCATATTTGGCGTCCGTAAAATTGGCAACCATGGATCATTTAATTTAATTTTATTATTTTAAATACGTTCGATGTTTTGAAGCGTTTTTATGAGATTTTAAGGGCGCAATATCACCATGTATAAAGTACGAGTACGTTTTAATAATTATAATTTTATAAGTAGGTACTATTAATATATATTATATTATTTAAATAGATGGTTTTACTAAAAAAATTTGAAAAATCTTTTTTGTAGAGCATACAATTTTCTACAAAAATATCTACTATGTATTGCTTCATGTATATTTTATTAAAAATTATTTTTTGTAATTGTTTTTAGACTGTAAACAAATAATTTAGATTACTTATACCAAAGTGAAAAAAACAACTTGGGAAACAACGGACACCCTAATATTCACATTCATATCTACTTCTCATATTAATCAGGGGTCTAATATCAAAAACGGCAAAGTCACATATTTTGTACTGTCAATTTCCATCACATTTTTCAAAATTTTCAATTTACTAATATAACTTACTAATTTGGGTGTTTTGGATGTATTTTTCCTTATTTGCTCATTTATTTGTTTGTTTATTTCTTCTTCCGATGTAGAATTGCCTATTTTATTTATTACTATAGTCTATAGTACCTATAGTATAGTATACTGACAGTCTGTCAGTGACAGATTTTATTTTAATGACAAATGCCGTTTTGTTTTCGCGGTAATGCATGCATCTTACTATATAATAATGTTTTGATTGAATAAAAAATACACACATAAAATTTTATTGTTTTTTAGAAACGTCAAAAAATAATCCAAAAATATGTGTCCAGTGCCGTACTTAACTAATGTTGTTGCACATATTACTAAATTAATATTTAAATATTTATTATTATTATATAATTTATTAAATATCTTTTTCGCAAGAAAATACTTTATAATAGCTTATTTTATTTTAAATATCTCTTAAATGGACATTGCTGGGTTATTACACCACTGAAATTCCGCCTGGGTGGTCGAATATATTCTCCGATGAAAATTAAATCAGTGTTGCCAATTGCGGTGTAATTTATTGACTGTTGTGTAATTTATTGACTGTGGTGTAATGCGGTGTAATTTGGGTGTTATTTTTGACGAATCAGTTAAATTGTACAGGGTGGTTCACGTAAGGTGACCCATATACTTATCTCAGAAACTACTGGAGTCACAAAAAATTTTTAAGAAACAAATATTCACGAATTAAAAAATATTTTTAAAATATTATATTTTCATTTATACATGGTGTTCGGTTTTCCTTTGGACGATACCAACTTTCTTATTTTCAATGGAACACCCTATATTTTTTTGCATTTTTGGATTCTACACACTATTTTAGGTATACTTTGTAAATATATTAATTAAGAAAATGTTAATACTTTTTGAGTAAAATTAAAATTTATCAAAATTTCTCTAAATGTAGACATTCGCTAAAAGTCAAAAATAACCAACTAAAAGTTATTATTTTTTATATTATGTAGTATCTTTCTCTTTAATAATAAGTAAGCTAACTTTTAGTTGGTTATTTTTAACTTTTAGCGAAATTTTAATAAATCTTAATTGTATTAATATTTTCTTAATTAATATTTTTACAAAGTATAAAAAAATACAGGGTCTTTCCTCGGGTCTTTCATTGAAAATAAGATAGTTGGTATCGCCCAAGGAAAACCGAACACTCTGTATAAATGAAAATATAATATTTTAAAAATATTTTTTACTTCGTGAATATTTTTTTCTTACAAATTTTGTGTGACTTAAGTAGTTTCTGAGATAAGGGGCCGTCCATAAATGATGTCACACGTTTTTTTAATATTTTTGACTAGGGATGCACCGGAATTCCGGCGGTACCACTAAATCCGGCCGATCCGGATCGCTGCTATTCTCCAATTGAATGAGTAGAATTGTTTTAATTTTGTTAACGCTAATTAAAAATTAATATTTAAATAAACAGTAATTTCTATCTAGGTAAAATTAAAATTAATAGTAATAAATACTCTGCATACTGTAGCTAGTTAAAAAAAAAGTAAAAATAAATCATCCTCAATATTTTCAATGTTTTACGTATAAAAACAGGCATGCACATACATTTTAAATTTAGGTCCCGATCCGGCCGGAATTCGGGCGATCCGGTTCGGCTAGCGGCCGAAATTCCGGTTCCGGCCGGATCGGCAAAATACCTGATCCGGTGCATCCCTATTTTTGAACCCCCCTCCCCCCCTTGTCACAATTTATGGAACCCCCGGGGGTCACCCCCCCCTTCCGATTGGCGTCACGTCACACTGATTTAATTTTTTTTAAGGTCTACCCCACGAAATTTTTGCTTAAAATAAAATCTTAATATCCAAAATATTTTTATAATTTTGTGACATCACAACCTCCCAAACCCCCCCCGGCTGTCACAAACTGTCACATTTTCGACGACCCCCCTCCCCCCTAAGTGTGTGACATCATTTATGGACGGCCCCTAAGTATATGGGTCACCTTTACATTACATTAATCATCCAATTTTAAATTTTTACAATGAAAAAATAGTATGGCAAGATGAGTATTAACAAAGGGTCCTAATAATTATATAAACTATTATATTAACTTTAACAACATTAATTATATAAAATTCCTTCCTTACATCTAACTAACCTGAACACTGACCATTGTTCAACTTTTTCGGAAGGAAGGGATGAAGGAAGGAAGGCAATCTATAAATCAGGCTTAAAAAATTTTAATACTAAGATTTTTGATATATATTACCTAGATCTTAATAATTATTAAAGTTTTAAGTTTAAAAATTATATTAACCACCCGACAAAGTGTTAATAATAATATATAATTATTATGACTGCCAGATATTATTTTAAAAAGTGTAGGTATCTATAAATATTATGCTATGTTTAATTTACAATACTAAAATTTAATAAGTTGTAACCGGTAATTGTGGTTTAAATAACTGTATTGTTATATAAATTTACCTATAATTATAATAATTCTATATAAATAGTACCTATACAGTTATTTAAACCACTAGTTTTCCCACCCCCACGTTATTAAATGCTAGTAGGTACCTATTACAAAATTAACAAAGCGTAATATCTATAGATAGGTACCTAGACTTACAGTCCGTAGAATACTCCTAATAAATTATCACAAAAAACGTCATCCCCTTGTATATATATATCCATAGATGGGGCGTATACGCATATATATATGCAAAACTCACAAAAAACATTGTAATGATAATTAAAAATAAATGTGGTCTTGCAATTACAATTATTGTAATACAATTTGAATATTACCACATTTATTTTTAATTACAGCCACAATATTTTTGTCCTTTACTGTTAAAAAGCAAAAAGTATACATACGTCTCATATAATAAATATTGTTAAATAAATAAATATGATTTTTTCCAAAGTAAAATGGTGTTCTGAAAAACAGTTTTTTAACATTAGTATACCTATAGGAAGGTATTTAATATAAAGTTTTAAATTTAATTGAATTTATATACCTACCGCAAATTTTCTTATGCTAGATCGAGCCAAAATAAAAATAACTAAAAACAATTTATTTTTCTAACAATAAAATTAAGTTTTTTAATATCACCATTCGTTTAATACCTATTCAAAATTTGTTAAGAAAGTCTAAATAATATAGGGTATTTATAATATTTCAAGTTATATCCTAAGTTTTATAAAAATATAATAGTTTTTTATATTATGAAATATGGCAACATTGCCGGAGTTCATATATATTGTGAAATGTACAAAATCATATATTTCGTGGGGCTCATATGTCTGCATTATAAAAGGAGGTCACAAAGCCGTATATTTTTAAAAATATAACTAAAATTTTAAACGAGTGGAGGCACAAGGAGAATGGGTTAGCTAATATACTTTAATCAAAAATGAATATATATGCTTCCTTAAGGGGGAAGCCATAAGTGACGTCCATGAAAGGACGCCATAAGTGTAGTGGGATGTATATATATATATATATATATATATATATATATATATATTTCGATGCACCATTATTTGGTATAATTCTTCAAGTATATTTGTATGTGTAAAGTGTAAAAAGTAAGCATAAAATATAGCGGAATGACAAAAAATATTGGTCCCTCGCTTCCATAAATCCCTTTAAATGCGTTCAAGATAAGGCTTGGAAAATGGAGCATATTTAAATCCCAAAAACATTGTGGGTAAGGTTTTTATGCAAAAGCCACTATCAACAAAAAAGATAATCTAGTTAAAATAACATAAATAGGCGTAACAAAAAGCCGTCGCAGACAACTATAAAATCCAGGAGACAGCTGATGTTCAAACACATAACTGTTGACCGAATCAGAATATCTCTTTAACCGTTTGCCGAGCAAATATGGGCAAAACGGGAGGGGTGTTTCTGTATTAATTCAGCCACTCACCCCTTTTGTCTCTCGCACACCAGCATATCATCCCCGCATTATTGATGATTGTTTAATATTTGAAACAAGTTCAGTGCTGGTGATTCTGCTGGCTTTATGCAAAACGTGCCTATCTTTATTTGTTTACTTTGCCGGAATCTGGTTTTTATTTATACGTATTCACTACAAGCGAATTCCTAGTTTTTTGTTCTTTGTTTTGCTTTAAAATTGTTATTTGATTTTGCGAATCTATTCGCTATTTTCGATAATTTCAGTTCTTTTTAAAGTAAAATCAATACCCATTATTTTATCAATAAATAAAACTTCTTTTACTAAATATTGTTTTAAAGACACCTAACTATTAGGTGATAATTTTCGTATTAAATTGCTTGTAAGTGACCAATAAACCACATCCGTGGTAATTTATTACTTCTCGTTCGTATTTTTATACCACTAAATGGTTGATGCCCGCAAGTTCATTTAATCAACCCCATTTTAAACTTCTCCAATAATTTAAATTAATAGCCTAGACCCTTTTTGTAGTTTATCTGCGGGTCTAGTGTAGTAAATAACGTATAAAAAGGCAAAAGTCATAAATTTCGTCCAAATGGCCTTCGAACAATTTTAAAATATTTAGACCAACAGAAACTCAACACAACTTCACCATTTTTTATTATGGTTAGGTAAAATGCCTGTAACATATGGCTGAAATTTCTTTTTCGTTACCAAAAAATTTTTATTTTCTTCATTTTAAAAATGAATTCTGCGCGTATTGGATATACTACAGGGTTAAAAACACGTATTTTTATTGATAACTGAGACAGTAAAAAATGACATATTTTATTTTAAAGTGACATCTTATCTAGTTGTGACTTTGGTTTCATTTAAGAGGACCCACATTTCTGCTGCTATGAAATATGATACAGGGATTTATAAAATATGGCTTTCAGAACAAAATACGAAAAATTTCCGTCGTAATATATGGCATGCAATATTTTACAACGTCTTGATTTTACCCAATTTGATGTAGCTATTGTTAAATATGTAACTGAATATGTTTAGCAATAGGGTGTGTTAGAGTTTTAACATAATACATTTGATGTATTATTCACACTTTTTAACTCTGAATATATTTTTATGACTTTTAAATTAAGCAACAAAAGTTTAAAGAATAGTGTATGTGACGTTTCCCCTCGGACGAAGAGTTAATCTTATATAATATGCTAATAAAGAATTGAATACCCCACCGAAATAAATGTAAAATCAAGATAGCGTCGTGAACAAAACAAAAGGCTCTAGCTTGGTGGCACCAGTATGATATATAATTTCCCATATGGCGTACCTAACTCAAATTCGAATCATATGAATCTTATCACTCGAAAATCAGTTATTTCATTGTTCAAATCAATGATACGTATCGTCGAGCCTGTATTTAACAATTCTTACACCCCACTTTGCGCCATAATAGATGTGGTCAAAAGTATTGTTTGGAAAATAGAAACGGCGTCACAAACCAGTACACACAGCACCCTAAAGATTTTACCCCATACAAACTTCAGTAACAGTTGATAAACGCGTATTTTTGATTTTACGCGTATAAAATTCGCAATGGTGATAGGAAATGCGCCAACTTCGATTAATCATCGTGACTAAACACAATGAGAAGTTCAAACAAGGTCATTAGGATGTAGAATGCACAATTTCCATTCTAAAGTAATGTAATAAATAAAACCAGAGTAACTATGAATTTTATAATAACAGTTTAAATTTAGGTATATTTTAAGTATTCATTTATTTGGTGAAATTGTCTGCCTATTCTTTAGCCAAAAAAAACTAAAATGCTAAAACTCTTGTGAAAGACTGTAATAGTAAAGCAAAATTTAGGATAACCAGCAATAATTTCTTTTACAAGGTCATCTGTCAAATATCGCATTTGCATTTAAAAAGATAAAGTATTGTTAAACGTTTTTTGTTAAGCACACGTTTGCGGCCAGGCACGCAGATTAGCGAGTCGTTTATTTAGTTATCCTTTATGAATTTCAGTCAAATGGAGATAATATGGTTTCGGTTTCGTTTGCAGTATATATATATATATATATATATATATATATATATATATATATATATATATATATAAACCTTTGTTTGAAAGCTAAATCGTCTTAGCTGCACATCGTATTTATTACTTGGTCGTTTCTATACATGCAACTAAGACAAAAAAGTTAATATTAAAATAAAAGTCGCTTTTGTCTGTACCAAGGATGAAATATAACGCTATTTATAAACGTGTATGGTTACTTTATATTGTCTTTAACGGAAGGATGTCTTGTAAGAAAATCCCTTTTTAAACATATTAAGCATGAGCATGGTGTAACTTAAACTTTAGAACTCTACACCAATTTGTATTGATTAAAAAAGTTTTTTATGAGAATATGGCGTAAATGACATATTTAAATATAAGCAATTAATTGCTTTAAAAACATGTCAAATTACAAAAACTTAAATATCATTTTTTTTAAATTCACAAAACCATAAAGCCATAATTTCAGACTAGGAACTAATTTCTAAATTGCTTTGGAAGCCAATAAGTTAAAAGTGACGACCGTCCTAAATTTATTTTTTTTGTTTCTAAGGGAACATTCCAAAAGTGTAATGAGTTTTTTTCTTGCCAGGCCCCTCTGTTAAATGTTAAAACAACTAAACAGGACTAACAAGAAACTGATGTGCTGCATTAGCACGATAATTTTTCCACCTTGAAAACATTAATAACTAACCGCTTTAGATGAAGGGATTTA